TGAAGTCTGAATGGGTGCCGCACCTGGGTGGATGATAAGGGAAGCAATTCAGCTCCTGACATGAGACTGTCGAGTCCTGTGAACTAGGGTTAGCAGGTTTTATGCTCGCACGGAATAACGCTTATGGCCAGAGTTAAAGGGCACCCCCAACAATCCCTACCCCCCTCCCCTCGCTGTTGCAATCCCTACAACCACACCCCTTTCTCTAAATGGTAATAATCGATGCAAACCCTCACTCCTCTTAATGGGGAATCCCTGCAAACAACCACCGATGTTGCCAAATCAGAATGAAAGTGACTATTAACTATGGGCGTCGTCGTATTATTTTACTGTTTTGATTTTTAATCTAGTGTGGCTTGGAATTTGAGGCGAGTTACTGCAAAGATATCTTGGAGGGGTTATGATTCCATTACTTCAAGGCGGGGGTTCCGGATCGTTAAACTTCATGCTTCATAATGTGACATACTTGATTCAGATATGGTGAAGTGATTATTTTAAAAGAACGATCGAATTAACGCAAGACAGACTCAAATGGAATTTAATTATTAGTTCCATTTGTCTACGATTTTTTCTTCCCTTAAGTTGCATTTTTTTGGGGTCTTCAGTTTGGTACCCCATTACGAATCCCGCTAATGGCAGAGCCCACTTTCCCTGTGCGTCAATATTATTCGTATTTTGGCCACTGATCGTTGTTTGATGTATATATGTTACATGTAAGCGGTGGTCCTGATTTAGCTGTTTCAGTTTGTCGCGGTAGTGTGAATTCGGACGTTTCAGGTTTCTTGGGTTTTGGCCCCATGTAAACTCGCAGGTAGATACCAGCGTTTCGAAGAAGTTTTCTGTCTCCACTTTCAGGGCTGAAGGAAACGTTATCGTCTACCGGTGATTCTACACAGCGCCAAAATCCATCACATCATCGGTGTTAACGTAGTTTGTACATGCACTGACATACACACGTTCATACGTCATTATTATCACCGAACAACACAGCAGAAATTATGAATTCCGGTAATTGGTGTTAATCTTTATTGAAGAATTTTGGGGTTCACCAGTCTAGATTTTGATATAATACATCAGCTGCTGATCAAACACTCAACTTTCGTCATATGAAGGAGAAAAAGTTACCGTGCCGACGAGGAATACACTTAACAGGTTAACGGGAATGTTTTACATGCAAAGTAATAACATTTCAGCTTATGCACACACCATGTACTGTCATATGTGGCGCTAGTGTCACTTCCACCTCCGAAATTCGCACATCCGTCATGTCATTATTACTGATTATTTATTATTTATTTATTTAGTGTTCTGTCTGAGGACAGGTCCATATGAACAGGATCCTTCCATCCTTTTCTCGGACTGGGACCTGTTCATATACGTTCTTGGCAGATGATCCAGAAGTGGTTTGCCATTGCCTTCTTCTGGGTGTGAATGGAGTAATTGTTGGGATGCCAATGAGGAAAACTCCGTGTTGCCTAGGCCACGGCCTTGCCCAACACAAGTTATAAATGCGAACCCGAGACCCCAGGATTACAAGGCCAGCGTAGTGGAGTTTCCCTTCTGTGGCACAACGTTCATACCAACTTTTGCCTAAATCTGTCAGCTGGTTCAAAACGTTTGCATTCACCGATGCAACACTTGGGCCCTTCCCTCGTTTGAAGCTGTCATCCCGGCAGAAACAAACGCGAAACGTACTTCCTGGCGAATTAATTCCCTACCTCTCTCTCGGAACACTGTAGTAGCACTCTCTTGTTTTAATGGAACTATTTTCCTTTGAGAGTAATGGGCCAGTGTGCACTATAGTTTTATATCCTTTGTAATGGAATGACATTAATGCGTTTTAGTGATGTCCTGCCCAGCTGGATACGATGGCCTCTTGGAGCCCGCAGGAGTGACCGTGGCTCTGTCCGACCAGAGGAATCGAGCGCGCTTCAAAGTGGACTACGTGGCAATAAAATACTCCAGGAGTTTTGAAAAATAACTTCTGTCCGTCGTAAACGTATATCGTAAACTACGAAGTTGTTGTTCTCTAACAACAATTGCCTGTCTCATTGTATGTACCTTTTGGAGTAGAAATTGCACTTTACAAATGTTTGGCTATACGGCGTTATTGACCGCCACGGTGGTCTAGCCCTTGTAATCCTGGGGTCTCGGGTTTGATTCCCGGCGGTGCCCGAATTTATAACTTGTGTTGGGCAAGGCCGTGGTCTAGGCAACACGGAGTTTTCCTCCGGGAGCTTCCCCGGTTTCTCCGTGGCATCCCAACAATTACCCCATTCACACACAGAAGAAGGCAATGGCAAACCACTTCTGGATCATCTGCCAAGAACATATATGAACAGGTCCCAGTCCGAGAAAAGGAAGGAAGGATCCTGTTCATATGGACCTATCGTCAGACAGAACACTAAATAAATAAATAAAATTCCGTTGCATCCCAACAATTACTCCATTCACACAGAAGAAGGCAATGGCAAACCCCTTCTGGATCATCTGCCAAGAACGTATATGAACAGGTCCCAGTCCGAGAAAAGGATGGAAGGATCCTGTTCATATGGACCTGTCGTCAGACAGAACACTAAATAAAAAAAATACGGCGTTATTGTAGGTTTTATTTAAACATGTGGCATGCAGTTTCATATGGACACGGAATTCAATTATGAGAACGTTGTATAATACTTCTCTCCTACCTTGGTTATAGGCGTTCTTGAAATGTATAAATAATTTGTGTGCTGTCCCATAGAATCTAATTTATTTCTCTCCGTTATGTGATGAATACAGAATGTCTGATCAATAGCTGCTAATCTATTATAAAACTTCGAAATCTACACTGAGGAATCCCAGTAATGTGGATTATGTATGGGGTTGATATTGAGAGAAAAATGCTGAATAGAATTTTTGTTATATTTATACCAGTGGCATTCCTCGATATTTACTACTTTTAGTTCGATAGGCCTTTTTATAAATACGTACAAGAGTAGTTGTAGTTCACAGCTCAAAACCAAATCAAGCCAAATTGAAAATATTTGTAAAAAATTAACGTAATCTTAACAAATTTACTTGTAACGAAAGCGACCAGTTTAGGCCTTGTTACATGCCGCCAGCGGACGAATGGAAATGACGCTGTGACGCGAGTTTCGAGACCCACCAAAAATTACTGTATGACTTAAGGTACAATTTGGCTGCACGCGACAGAGACAAGCGACCGAGGCAGGCGACAGAGTTACGAGACCGAGACTGGTCGCTTCCTGTCTGCTCTCTGTACAATCGTATGAAGTACAATTACGAGCGCGAGACAAAGACAGGCGACAGAGACAAAGCACAGGAGACCGCTCTCGGACCAGTAGTGTCTCGCGACGGGCTCAGGCAGCACGTGTGTTGTTGAGTAAAATAATGGCAGAAATTAAATTTACTGGTGACCAAGATGAGCAATTGGTAGAATTAGTAGCAGAAAACCGACCACTGACCACCGACAGAAAGATCCTTCTTCGCGTCTGGTTTTGAATATTGAACTCATAGGTTTTCTTTGTTTCTTTCGCAACAAATAACACAGCAACACATCATCTTCTTCTTATTCTTCGAGTAACCTTTTTAGAAGCATTTTTGTACTCATTTTTCACAGAATATGTGCACGTATGTCTCAACAAAACAAGGAAAACAAACACTTTGCCGCATGTCTCGGTCGTCACCTCAAAAGTGCGTGGCGACAAGCTGCGATGTGTCCGTCTCCCGTCTCTGTCGCCTGCCTCGGTCGCTTGTCTCTGTCGCGTGCAGCCAAATTGTACCTTTAGAGGCTTAGTACTCAGACAAGCGATAAACCAGTGCCCACTACCACTTGTCTTGAAACGCGTTTACCCATTCTCCACGATCTACCTAACTGAGACCGGCAGTGACTGTGTAAATATTTGTTTTGTACCTCGATACAAGGGCGTGTGGATCTTGATGGTATATTTGAGTTGTATTTTTGGAGCCCTGCCTTCGATTTAACGTTTCAGAGACGTTGTTTGTTAAACTATAGTTTCATTAGTGTGCCTACAAACTGTGTAGACCTGTAAATATTGACAGGTCAGATCTTTTCTTGACTTTTGCTCAATATAACAGCTTTACAGAGTGGCTCAGCACAGCCTTGCTTAGGCTAAATCTCTTTAAGCCAAGTATGAAACATTTGCATGTTTTTAGAACGTTAATGCACGTACTGGCAATCTGCCTCAGCTGCTACCGACTCAGAGGGACGGCAACACTGCACAACTGTTGTGTTAGTGTGGTTGTCTACAAATAAGGGGGAGAGAAGCCCCTAAACCCTGTGTACACTATTCCTATGGGTGTACGGACTGAGGTAGCTAGACTACAGAATTAGAGCATACACTGTCTTCCTTTTATTTTTAATTTGCTGGCAAGACGGGTGCTGGTGACGTGATGGGGGGAGGGGGATGAATTGTGAGCAAGAGATGTTGGGGGAGGGGGTAGAAAAGTGAAGATTAGCGAGTATCCACCCCCGTGTAGTTGTACCCTCTCTTATGAACCTTCCTTATTGATCCCCGTATCACGGAAATGACGTTAGGGGGTGTCGTCGCCCCTACTCATGCTCTTGCCCAGTGTTTAGTAGTAACACAATCTCTGGTCCCGTGCTTCTGTGTTACATTATGCGAAAGGACTCCAAAGATCACAGCGTTGTGTGCAGTGTGAAGATTGATTGTGGAAATGCGTGTTTCAGAACGCACTCCGCCTCACAAATACGAGTTTGGAGCCATTGCAGTTTTTGTGACTTCCTGTGTGTTCTTAGAGACGAAGCACGAATAACGCACACGCCAAATTTTTGCACAATTAACCACAGATACTCAGTTGTTAACGGAAGTTGCAAATCAAAGGCTGGGAGTAGTGGGCCTTTGCGTTGTGTTCGATATATCTCGCACCGTCATGTATGAATCCTGTAGTACGGGTTGAAAGGGGATGAGGCAGGCCCTCGCCGTGTGTTAACGAGGAACGTTTTCTCTTCGTTTCAGACGCGCATCCACCAGTTTCAAAACAGCATTACCGAGCTGGGGCAGGAGAACGAGGCACTCAGGAAGAAGATCTGCGCCCTAGAAGCTGCAGTATGTTGCTTATCTGCATTCTGGTTATTTTTATTTTTCTAATTTTGAAGTAGAATCAACTTCTCAAGAAAGCCCTGTACATGGGTACAATGGTGTCTTAATCACAGTCCTCTGAATATAATATATTCCCCTTTGCACAATAATCTAAATGAACTGGGAAATACATTACTTGCAAAAATTAATGGGCTAGAATTAGGTTTATCCCCTTGAAGCTTCACAGCGATGCATGTTGTGCGAGTAAACAGGAGAAGTTTTTAAACTTCCTGACGCACGGATTGAGGTTATGGGACCCGTAGTCTGAGCTCTGTGACTTCAGAGAGCTGATATTTGCAGGGTTCTGGCGAGGTGCAGAACACGCTGTTGGAAAGGCTGCGCGTTCTGGAGGTGGAGAATTCTACCCTGACGAGGGACGCCGAGCTACAAAGGCGACAGTACGAACGGTGCCTGGATGACGTCGCGAACCAAGTAGTACGCGCCCTGCTCACTCAGAAGGTAAGTAGGCCTGCGTTATAGCTGCTGTTCGCCGCATGGGTCTGAGGCCCAATGGTAACTCAGAAGATGGCTGTCCTCTGGGATGTTTTCGCCGTCTAGTGTAGTAGATTCTGTCAGACGCTTTAAAGGTGCGTTTTGATTCTGTCATCAGTGATCACAGCCCAAAGTTATAATGTTTGTACTTGTTCAGCTGGTTAGTAAAATCTCCGCTCTTAAAGAACTCAATGGTTAATTTACGTATACACGGAAACATTTAAGTCTGCCCTCTCCTGATGTTGTTGAATGCAGTCTACAACCACAGACCCTGTTTCCTTAATTTCCATTTTAATATTATCTTCCTACGCACAGCTGGGTCTTTAAAATCTTCCTTTCATGACCTCCCCCATGCTTGCTACGCGTCACAGACATCGAATCCATATTGATTTAGCTTCATTTAGATGCGTTAACGAACTCATAAGAGTTCTGTCCAGATTCAGTTGAATCCAGTTCACATCCTCATAACCTATCTGCTTAATATCTGTTTTAGTATTGTCTCATCATTTACATCTAGGTATCTCAAGTAATGTTCTTTACGGAGTCTTTTAACAATAATGTTCCATGAACAAGACTTTTTCTCCATTCGTTTTACATGCCCTACTCATCTCATTTTCCTTTAAATGACTTTAGTTTGTTGTATTCACACGATGCAGTTTTCTTTCTTCAACGTGAGCTTAATATTCACTTAATTTGACGAGGCTTATGCGTGGAAATGGATAATGGCTGGCACAGTGTGGAAAATCTGGTTTTCCGGGGGGCATAAGTCTATCAGCGTAATGTGATTACTGAAAATCCTGGTGCCGTTTTACTGATGGCTAACGCAGTAAATATTTACTCCCCAATTCCTGTCAGTTCTGCTCCTTCTTGCCACTCCTTTGTGGACGATTGCTGTCAGACTTCAGTGTAGTAATTGGAAAATAACCACAGGAAAAGTGATTAAGAGGAAAATTTTTTTTGGTTATATGTAACCAACTTGTAGCTCGGAATATTAGGCATTCTGTGGATATTACATCGTAATTAAAATGTGTCGATTCTGCAGAAAGTATAGAGAGAGAGAGAGAAGTCGTAACTTAGAGCACACATTGTTTTTAAGCTCGTTTAAAATACTTGTCAGAGAAATTTGCATGAACTGAAGTAACTTTGTTGCACAACAGTGGATTACATCAGTTGGCTGACCTTTGGTACTATTGTTTGTGACGCATTTTTCGTAATAATTGAACCGCAAGTTACGAAAAACTCGACACGTGTATGGACCTATAAGCTGTTTTTCGCTCACGCTAGTCCGTGAAGAATAATTAAAAAGGAAACTGCATTCGTGCCATTGCCCCCAAATTGTTCCTGTACGAAATAATTACGAGCTCGTGCTCACAATGCTGCTTAATGAAGTCTCTGTTTCGTTTCCCAGTCTCTCTGCCTCAGCTAGAAAATTCTATTGTTTCCTATTTGACGCTGAAATTGAAACTAAACATGTCAGCTGTCGTATCGAGAGCCCGTGAAATAGCATTCTGCTGTTCGGTTCCAGTGGCTGCTTATTTCACCCGCTGACTGCATTTGCCACCTTGTCTGAACGGAATGTACATCCGACGTGAATAATCCCAGACTGGGGAAACCGGTCCGACATAAATACCTAGTGCGGAACTAAAATTTTTCTAAAATCCTAACCTCTTGTCTCTGCTGTAATTCGGAATTTTACAACCATTCCTGCACTGAATTAACTAAAGCCAGATGAACGTTGCCACTGTACCTAAGCACCAAACAATGAAGGTCGCCCAAGAACATTTTACATTTCACGTTTTATAAATAGTCCTGTCGCTTATATTTTTTAATGTTCTACATTGAAGGTAATTTTTATTGTTTGTCTAGCGGTTAGAACGCTGGCCTTGTAATACTGGGGTCTCGGGTTCGATTCCCGGCGGTGCCCGAATTTATAACTTGTGTTGGGCAAGGCCGTGGTCTAGGCAACACGGAGTTTTCCTCCGTGGCATCCCAACAATTACTCCATTCACACACAGAAGAAGGCAATGGCAAACCACTTCTGGATCATCTGCCAAGAACGTATATGAACAGATCCCAGTCCGAGAAAAGGATGGAAGGATCCTGTTCATATGGACCTGTCCTCAGACAGAACACTAAATAAAATAATATATTAATATCTTCAGATTTTTATTCGTGTGTTATATAGCGGGCTGGTGTTACGTACACAACGTCATTCGCGAAGTTAAAATGTTTGTTTGCGTGCGCAGGGTCTGCGAGAGGAAATTGGCATCTTACAAAGACGTATCAAGGACCTGGAATCCCAGAACCGCGCACTGGCCTCTGTACTGGTGCAGCAGTTGCATCAAGCTTCCCCCGTCTTGGTGCCTGGGGACACCGTCGGCGTCAGTAAAGCGTCGACTGCAGACGCCGAGGACGAGCCATCAGTGGGGTACAGTCCCACTGCAGTAAGTGTTATCACAGTAGGGACGGATCGAACATTCGTGATCGAGTCGTGACAGCCCACATGAGACCATTCATAAAAGGCATTCAACCCCGAAGATGGAGGACCTTTCGTTGTCGGGTGTTAGCCAATGCTCATTCAGTATAGGTTCTTCACATGTACCCTCCACATCTGGAGCCCGTATTCTCCATCCGAAACCTGAGAACGCGCCCTGATGAAGGCTGGATTGATTTCGAAGCGTCGGGAGTTACAACCGAATACTGTTCATCCAAACCAAAGCCACTAAATTACAGAGTGCTTATAAAATTATTTAATTACACTTCAGTCGCAGAGATTAACACTGAATGGGATTTAATTAATTAATCTTGTCCGTCTAATCACAATTTAAAATTTAAAATTAAGATAGTTAAAATACCATGTGATGCTCCTTATCGAAACATTCGATTTACATTTGGAACACATCTAAGAACCGAAACATGTAGTGAGAAAGTGATGTTGCAAATGTAAATCGAATGTTTCGATAAGGAGCATCACATGGTATTTTAACTATCTTAATTTTAAATTTTAAATTGTGATTAGACGGACAATATTAATTAATTAAAAATATATATTTTCACAATATGACGCAACTCTATCATCTTACTGAATGGGATGTTAATAGAGTTAATGAGCGATGAATAGGCGAGGATTTAAAAGGTGGTCGAGGCCGATTACAAGGTTCTGGGCTGTCATGATACTGGGGAAAGTTAGAATAACCAGTAGCCATCCCTAATTCAAACCGGTACTTCTAGATACAAGTTTAGAGCGTTGCCAGACGAAAAACGGAAGGGAGACTTCGGCTATTAATTGCATCATTAATATTCATAAAAAGAAAGGCAGACTATTACCTCTTATATAGACCTTTGAGGCCGATTATAAAACGAATAATAGTAGTCAAACTTACGTCTCATTCTCTACTGGATTATAAAATGTACACAGTTTTAGAAAGAAAATAAGCGATATATCATTTCTTGATGACATATATCGGGATTACAAATGGTCCACTTGTTGCTTCATCCCTTCCTGAAGCCGTAGCGACGGAATTCAGAACAGAAAGAGCACTGTGAACTGTCTGAATTCAATTTCATGAAATCTTCCTCCTTGTAGGTGTTCACGCTCTAGCGTGAGCCCGACCACGTCTCTGCCGTATTTATTCAGCCCGCGTGACCAGGGAAACTGTTGCTTCCCAATCGGGGCCGAGGTCATTGTTCGAACACATTATTGCGCAAACATAATCTCTAATCACGTCAGTGCAACAATTACTTAAGGACATCGTTAAAGAACACGTAGGAGCATATTTTAAAATACTGGAGAGGTCTACAAAAGTATCTCAAGGTTATTTAAGTTTACCTACTGCGACACCTGTAACCAATATTTGAACTATAGATGCATTCACTTTTGACAGATGGCAGTAGTAATCACGGTATTTAAGCTCCAGTCCTTTTCATATGTTCATAACCAAACCAAACTCCATTTTGTCTTATTTGTAACTAAACAATTTAAACACGAAAATGTATAGGATTTATTGTTGGCATTAACTGTGTTCTATGCTTTAAAATTCTTTGTGCAGATGAAGTTTAGATAGTAATATATATAAAACTGTGGGTAGTATCTTGAGTAGTTTAACTGTTTGTAGAATGAAGTTCATATAAACAGTATTTAAAAATTCCTATGTCAAATAAAACATAATGCGTCAAAATTACAAAATTCAATTTATTAACCTTGTTCAGAGACACAATTGTTCTCTATTCTGAGAATAATATGGAACCCATAAATACGCGGATTATTGAATGTTAAGGAGGGTTCATTGATTTAAAGATTTTTTCATTGTTTGAAGGCTCTGTTTAAACTGCTGAGGCTGTTGTATTGAATGAGAACATTATCATGGATGATAAGTAGGGATATGGAAGGATATCAAGGTAGTCAATAACCTGGTCAAGAATTCAACCATCTTTTTCCCAGATATGATTCTTCTTGAGTGCTGGAGGTCAACAGTTGTGTTCAGTAAATGCGTATGTGTTGATTGTGTTTTCAACTGTCGTTTCCAGAATTCAGCATTGTCCGAGTTATACGCCCCGAGCAGCTGTGCTGCAGAAACTCCCATGACTTCGGACACATCCATGTCTACCCAAATCAGTAGCGACATTGTGACTCCGGATGATGATCTGCTCAAGAGATGGCATCACCAGCAGGCGATCACCCCGACTAGCAGTGACCTGGCGACACCAGACGATGACGTACCAAAATCATGTCTGCGGAAGCAACAGGTGACTCCAACCAGCAGTGACCTGGCAACGCCTGAGGAAGACACAGTGAAGACCAGTAAGCTGAGGAAACACCAACATCATGTGTTGGGAAAGGACTGTCCAATCAACTCCATAGAGCAGGTGGCGTCCACTGGAGCCCTGTTCACGAGCCTGAAGACTGCGGGTTTTGTGGATCCTAGCATGCTGTGGCTTCCTCTCCAGAGGCCACGGTCACTCAACCTTCAGCTTCACGGCACCACTACCAGTCAGCAGGTAGCAGCCCTGGCAGCTGTCACAGCTGGCAAGTGTTGCCAACATCGCCGCAGTAGGCCTCTGATTGGTAAAGACCTTTAAGTCAAGAAGAGTAGTCCAACTATAACTAACTTTTCCGGCAATTTTATTGCAATGGGACTCTGCAAATCATCATTTCACCCATTCTTATCATCAGGGGCTGACACAGTAGATCAGTCTATTCAGTGCCATAGTATCAAGAAGGTACTCAGTCTCACTACACTTCTATTATCATCACTGATGTTTGTTGTGATTATTATTATTATCACCGTCCCTCGCCGTAGCCGCGCAGTCTGAGGCATCATGCTTCGGACTGGTGATACAGAATGCGCGCTGGTTCGAGTCTCGGGGGAGAAGAAATTTTCTCATGAGCTTTCGACCAGTGTATGGGACCGGTGCCAACCCAGCATCGTGAGGAAATTGGGGAGCTACAATGAGTAGCGTAATCCGGTCAGGAAAACTAGCAATGGCTGGGGGTTCGTCGTGCTGACCACATTTCACTCTGTATCTGGTTGGATGATCGTTCACCTCTGCTTAGGCATGTGAACATGAGGCCAGCAGCCAGCTAGTCGGCTTTGGCTCTCAGAGGGCTCTTGCGCCACGGATTATTATTATTATTATTATTATTATTATCATTATCATTATCATTATCATTATCATCATCATCATCACCTTTTCTGATAGTAAAATATGAAGGTTCTCCACAACTTAAATCGGCACATGCGGTCGGATAAAATCTTGAGCCACTTCTGTCAACCTTTATCCTCCTAATCTATTTCCTTGATGTTAATTTTAATATGCTTCCATCTCTGTCTTGGTCTTCCACGTGGTAATTTTCCATGAGTTTCACCTGTCAAAATAGTGGGGAAACTAATGGTTGGTATACACATGTAAGGATTGAAAGGGTTCCAACACTAGTTCTGACTGTTGTTAACGGCCATACTAAGAATAAAACACTGTAAACGCATGGCATTATAGTGGTAACCAATCACCTGGGTTTTATTCCATGTTTGAGTTTGGTATGTTGCAGTATCAGTGCAGAGAAACTTGCCCTGCCATCTCTTGATAACCAATTGCAGCATCCCAAAAAATACAAAACAGGAGAACGATTTTCCATGAAACTTTGCGCTTGAAAATGGTTAAATATGCCTCTGACAACGAACAGCATTAAGTATAATTTTTGTTCCTTCAGCTCAAGTGTCTGGCAGCAAAGTGCCCTCCGTTATCATCGGTAATAACAACGCCATATTGATGGAGGACGAGGGTAGCGAGAGTCCTGAGAGTGGAAACCGCGATGAAGGTTACTCCACAATGTCCAGTGATGTGCAGGGTGAGGCACTTCGTTCAGGAGATCAGTCCACCTCCATCACCACGTCTTGCACCAATGGGGACATCCTCCATCGCAGGGGGCTGGAGGATCTCAAGGAAGCCACCGACGAGACCGACGTGTCGGCTGTCGTGGCTGTTTCTGGGACAGGCGGAAACACTGCTTCATTGCCAACAGCACTTGTTGTAGACTGCGGTGGCCCTGGTGCTGCAACATCACCCAGCACTGTAGGCAGACTTCTGGTTGTGGAAGATGTTCGTGATCCTGACGTACTTTACATACCTCTCGGTCTTGCATTGGGTCTTAGTACCGGAAACCCACGCCACAGCTTCCCACCTTCCCACGATCTCCTCCCATATCAGCATATCATGAGGAGCTTTTCTGACTCTCACCTGTGTCTCAAAATCACAACTGCTTCAACTCCTTCGCCTGTTAATAACCAGCAACACTCTTCATTTTCATTATCATCGACTGCATCGTCATCACCATCTGTACTTGTACTTGATGTTTTAACATCAGGGAGTACAGGAGAAGCGACTCAGAAACAGTCTCATCCTCTGAGAAGAACAAAGGCAACAACAAGCTTGTTGCCAACAGCCCTTAGTGACCAACAAGAATCTCTAGAGGAAGACGACACACACAGCAATAGTGGCAGTTGGTGCAGCAGCGGAGATATAGTCGTGGAGGGATGCTGGTGGGACACCGACTACGTGCAGCACTGGCTCCGGCTGGACGATACCCGCAGCGCACTCCAGCAGCAACACAGGGACTTGATGGAGCTTGAGTATGATCATGCAGAACTAGAGGACTGGAGCATGTCATTGTCATGTGAGGACATTACCTCATCGACAGCATCTGTGGCATCAGGTGTGGCATCATCAACTGACTCCTCCTCTTGGAGGCGATCGGGTACAGCAGTAAATGAAAACCTGACTCCAGGACAACAGTATGGAATGATGCTACCTAGTATTCAGGAGAATAATGCTCTGGAACTGGAGGAAGATTCCAGTGAATGTCTTTGGAATAATGCCAGCTATCTCATTGACCACAGAAATGGTGGTAGAGAACTGATGACATTATTGATGGATGACGGGGATCAAAATGGAGATAACAGTGCGGGACAGAAAAGCAGTTGGCCCTATAGTAATGGAAACAATGGTGGGATTTGTGGAGGAAACTGCAGCTTAGCCTCTCCTGGAGGCAGCTGGTCAAGTACGGGAACAAATTCAGAAGAGTGCTGTCATTCATATGAGTGCTCTTACAATGGTTGTAGTGGCAGTGGGCCAGGTGGCTGCCAAGAAAATTCATCTAAACGCTCCTCAGCAGCTATGAGTGGCTGCAGTGATGACGCAGCAAGCACAGAGTCACCAGCTGTTGTCGGAACTGATTTTACCCGCGACTTCTACCGCCTTGTAAAATTTGAAAGTACAAAGTCTCTCGCCTCTTTATCATCAAGAAGTCTGGCAGGTGGCGCGTGCGTGTCCGACGCCGGCGGGTCTCTCTCGTGGCGCCAGGGTCCCGACCTACCCCATATGTCCAACATGCCTTTCTCTCAGGATCGTGAACAAGCTCTGCAAAGCGTCCTTAACTTCATAGCAGAGCAGCAACAGTATTGTGCATCCCGTGAAGAGCAGGATTCTGGTAAGGAACAAAATAGTACAAATTCCTTGGACAGACCTGGATCACAGGGTTACGATAGTTGTCAGAGAAGCAACGAATATGATCTTGTTGTCTGTCAAGGCCAGCAAAGGCGCTTAGTATCGACAGAATCGGAAACCAAAGACGAATCAGGCGTAAGGCTACAATTGCGTTCTCCTGCAGCAAATTCTGCCTCTAACAGTAATGTTGATGGTCAGGTTTTGCCAGACAGAAGCAATCAGTGCCCTGAGGAAAACTGCTCAAAGACAGATACACTTGCCTCACGCACCTGCACAGATTTACAAGATGATGAAAAGACTGTTCGTGGTGATGAGGAAGCAACAAGGAATGCTGATGACTTTGAAGAGCAGATTCACACCATCATAGAGCTGGATACAAGAGACCACCAGGTGTACACTTCTCCCCTGGAAGAGAATGAGATTCAAAACTCATCAAACAAGAAGGGAAGATGTTCGGAGGTGGAACTCAATGAACAGAACTCATCCTCGACAAAGAAAATGCAGCACAATAATAATAAAGTTATTCATGAAATAAAACAAGAACAGTGTATAAATTTAAAAGAGATGTTGAAACCTGACTATCAGGACACTTACGTTGAAGGAGAGGGGAGTGGCGAAGAAGGTATATGCCTCACAATGCAAGCCTATACTGCAAAAGTTGAAGCTTCTTGTCTGTTGAAAGAGATGCAACAGCAGTCTGATGACCACAAGCCCAGCACTAATAATTCGCAAGCCGAATTTGATGGCCAGGTTAGTAAAATCAGTTCTGGTAACAATTTGCTAAACAAGGACAAGACTGACAGCGGAGAATCCCAGGCTGTGAAACAAAAATTTGTGGGAGATGATGTCACAGAAATTGAAAGTGTACAAGAACAAATTAGTAAAGACAGAGAGAATGATACTGATGATACAGATGATCATGTCAGATCTATGTGTCATCCTGGCGGTTCACAGTTGATATTGGGGCAGTGTTCCAAAGGATTGGCGCACAATCTGCAGTGCAGTGTCGTCGGTGTGGGATGTTGTCGATCTGGGGAAGTGTTAGTGACTGTGATAGAAGAGGAAGACGAACATGCATCATCTATTGAAACAAGTAGCT